CCAGGACTGGGACACAGAACCAGGACTGAGACACAGAACCAGGACTGGGACACACAGAACCAGGACTGGGACACACAGAACCAGGACTGGGACACACAGAACCAGGACTGGGACACAGAACCAGGACTGGGACAGACAGAACCAGGACTGGGACAGACAGATCAGGACTGGGACAGACAGATCCAGGACTGGGACAGACAGAACCAGGACTGGGACACACAGATCCAGGACTGGACTAGTCAAGTTAAGTTTTCTCAGCTCGCTCGTTGACAGGACACTTTAGAGCTCTTTGTGGATCTTTGTGAAAACACTGATCAGTTTTAAAGAACAAAGTTTAATAAGYAGAATAATTAAAACAWATAAACATCTGGAGAACGGTCACAYTCAGATGTTTCTGTAAAAACTGTGAGGTTCAGAACCTACCCTGGAACAGGACCGACTTGCGGATGTAGGTGCAGATGACGGCCATGGAGTGGAGGTAGGACAGGCGCTCCTGGTCCTCCTGGCTGATGGGGAGCAGGGCCCGCATGTTCCTGATCTCGTGGTTGATGTGGTCTCTGCGAGCCTTGGAGGCCCCCTTGGTGGACCTGTGAAGGACCATGGCTGTGGGGGTCAGAGGAGGACGAACACAGACGAGAGAAAAAAAAAACCTACAGAAACAGCCTCAGTGTTTCCATCCCTGAAGTGTGAGCGGCTGCAGGCTGATGAGAGCGATGAGGGCTCAGGTCTGCAGGATCAGGGTCTGTGTGGACCCCCAGGGGCTTTATAGCTCTTCAGTGGGGGGTCACACCCTCACACACAGAAAGAGGCTGGGCTTCTCCTGCTCCCCCCACCTCCCTAATCACTACTAAATGTTGATTCATCATCAGTTTTAAAGAGAACTACTGGAATTAAAAGCTGCCTGGCACATGTCATCCAGATGATTTTTTTTAAATAAAATAAGTTATTTTCATCAAAGCTTGTAAAAAACGTGCATCTGTAACCTTGTATGTTTAAACAAGAGTATATGTTGTAAATAACTCTCAGCTACTACCTCATCAAATTTTAGCACAATATCTTCAAAATTTAGTGAGCTATATCCATTATTGTGTTCAGACATTCGGTTAGCTGTGGCAACTATTTTACATCATACTSACTCCAAWTTTTAATCAGTTGTAGGTGCCTATTAAATGATTAATATCTGAAAGTTTCATTAAAATCCAATACTTGGTTCGTGAGATATTTTGCTAACAGACCGACAAATTTGACTTGTAAATTTTAAATGCATAATTTCAAACAAAACATTGCGCAATGCGTGAGCCTTCAAAACATGTGTTGGAGGATCAGTCTCAGCTACCACCACAACAAATTCCAGGTTAATATTTAGAAAATTGACTGCATTATAGCTATTTATTGTGTTTTTAAGTTTACTTGGCTGTGGCGGCCATTTTGAATCCGGTCGCTTACAAACTCTAAACACTTGTCGGTGTTCGTCCAGTAAATATTTACTGAAAGTTTCGTTCAAATCCGTGCGGGGGTTCGAGAGATATTTTGCTAACAGACAGACAAGCCTGAGACTGACCTGAACCTCCGGCAGGCAGCGCGCCGGGGATCCTCCTCGCGCAGATGGAGAGGTGAGCGCCGGGAGCTCACGTGACACCGTCTGCACGAGTCGCACCGAACAGACATTTTAACAAAAACATTAAATAAATCTMATTTCTAAAACATCAAAGTTTGATTGAAGTGATGGAGAAATGGATCGGACCGGGTCCGAACCTTCTGGGTCGGTTTCAGGATCCAGTCTGGATCGACTTGATGCTGCGGCTCCTTTTAAAGCGACTCCTCTCATCCGGAAACCCCATCCTGGATCAGCTCAGCGTGACGAACCGAACCGAACCGAACCTAAAAATAACCCGCGAGACCCGAGAGTCCGAACATCAACGGATCTGAGGCGAGCTGAAAGGAAAAACACGAGATTTTAGCTTATTTCAAGGTCTTTAGCTGAGTGTGAATGAATGAATGAATGAATGAATGAATGAATGAATGAATGAATGAATGAATGAATGA